GCTCAGTTGAAGGGTATAATAGTGATTTAAAGTTTCATTTTTTTTTTTAAGATTTTATTTATTTTTTTTTCTAAAGATTTTATTTATTTATTTGACAGAGAGAGACACAGCGAGAGAGGGAACGCAAGCAGGGGGAGTGGAGAGGGAGAAGCAGGCCTCCCGCTGAGCAGGGAGCCTGATGCGGGGCTCGATCCCAGGACCCTGGGATCGTGACCTGAGCCGAAGGCAGACGCTTAACGACTGAGCCACCCAGGCGCCCCAAGATTTTATTCTTTTAAGTAATCTCTACACTCAGTGTGGGGCTAGAACCTACAACCCCAAGATCATGAGTCGCACCCTCCACTGACTGAGCCAGCCAGGCTCCTCTGAAGTTTCCTTTTAAAATGTATTTAGGGATGCCTGGGTGGCTCAGTCATTAAGCGTCTGCCTTCGGCTCAGGTCGTGATCTCAGGGTCCTGGGATCGAGCCCCGCATCGGGCTCCCTGCTCCGCGGGAAGCCTGCTTCTCCCTCTCCCGCTCCCCCTGCTTCTGTTCCCTCTCTCGCTGTGTCTCTCTCTGTCAAATAAATAAATAAAATCTTAAAAAAAAATAAAATGTATTTAAATCAAAAGAAAAAAGTGAGCTCAGATAAAATGATGAGGTAAATAACAAATAGTACAGGCAACACAGAGACATGGCAAACGTCCTAGAGGCAGGCAAATGACTGAAGTTGGAGCAAAACTGAGCTGGGTTGTTGCCGCAGTCCCTTCAAATTCCAAAATAGAAACCCAGATGGGATGGGGGCTCATGTGTATGTTATAGCAGGTTCAGACGGAGGCCCCTGGGAATTCATCATCAGAGCCTGAGTCCTGGCCTCAGTGACCGTCCGTGGAAATCCATGCACGCAAGCCCACTGATCTGCTTTCCTTGGTGGCAGCAGCATGGTGCGTGTACCCTGGGCGGGGAGCAAGGCTGCACCGAGACAGGCATGTATCTGCAGGGAGGTGTGGGAGTGAGGGCCCAGAAGGCTCTGCAGAACTGTGCCGGACGTTCTGGTCTGGCATAAAGAGGACATTCACTTTGACCTTGAATCTCACCAGGAAAAAGTCAAATCTCTTTGGCACCCTCTTTTAAAGATGATTGTGGAATCCGTTTTAGAATGGTGAGAATCTGGACAGGCTCTCTCCCCAAAAAACTTACTAAACCCCCCCCCATGCCCACGTGGCATTTTACATAAAGTTTCAGGGAGTTGACAGACGCTAGGTAAGAATCACTACTTTTAAGAGTTGTTTGGATAAAATTGTTAAAAAGAAGGGGCCAGGGGCAACCTGCATTGGCACTGGAAGGACTGTTACATGTTCATCTAGAGAATTAATCCCCGTAACTGTGCTGGCCGGATGAGGATAGGGAGGGTGGGAACCAGGGTGACAGAACCGAGGTTGAGGAACCTCATTGTGCATGGAGGGACCCTCGTGGGCCTGGTCCTGCACAAGGAGAGGACCCGGGAGTGGGGCGAGCAGCAGTCCTGGCTTTTGCTGCTACTTTTCTCGTCATAGTAATTGTCACTATGCTTCTGGGTTTCTGTTTTCTCATATATAGTATCTAGGACTGAACCAGTGGTTTTTAGCAGTTCTGTGTGAAGCTCCAGAATTCTAGAAAGGAGCTTTAGGGGCCTCTGTGGAGTGCAGGAGGAAACCCGCAGCCAGGGACGTTTGGGAATCCACCCACCCTTTACCCAGAGCAACTCTGCTCCTGTCTATGGTGGTATGTCGTGGGAAATTGTCATTCAGAATTAATATGCCACTTCTTAACTAAATTTGGTGAGCACTAGACTGGATTATCTTTAACGGCTGTGTGCACCAGAATTCTGAGTGTCCAGGGAGATTAAAAAATTAAAAAGGAATAACCACGTCACAGCAGGCGTATTCTCTAGGCTGAAGTGCTAGGGCTTGGCCCTGTAACCTTGGGGAGTCCTTGAAGCTGAGTTCCTGCCTCGTCAGCCAGGATGGGAGGAAGGGGAGCTCCCAGCAGGGCAGGAGGTGTGTCAGAGGTCCCAGGGTGGAAGCCAGAGGCTGGCATCACAGTCCTGCTGGGTAGTCTTCAGATGTTTTCAGTGGCATGCTCTGTCGGTAAACACTAACAATCAAATAAATGTCATTTAAGCATGCAGCTCGCCAATATAGATACATTTATTGTAAATTACACATATTTGTATTGCTGTGCCAAGGTTAGATACATCACAAAACAAAACAGATTGTTTAAAGATGAGGATAATTAAAAATAAGAGAAGTACTGCCCCGTGAATCATCTCCTGTCCCCGGTGAGGACAGACTGCCCCCACCACAGAGAGGTCAGGCTTGTCAGGAGGCAGCTGGAGGAGGTTGGTGGGGGTGAAGGTGTAGGCGCAGGAAGGAACAGTGGTTCTCAGCAATCTGCACTCCCACCTGCTCTCTGCCGCGGCCATGCTGCTCGGACTGCTGTTTACTCAGTAGCTCCCTGTGAATTGACTCACTCGGTTTTTTTCCCTTAAATCTCGCCTTCTCCTAAGCAGTGATATCCACAGAAGAACAGGTTTTCTGTGCAGTTAGAATCTTCTAACGCACATTAAGATAAACACAGAACTCTGCAAACAGAACATTTGTCCACATTGCACTTGAAAATCATGGGTCAGCCCCCACCTGTGTGATGGCCCCGTGGGAGGCTCCAGTCCACCCTGGGAGGAAGGGGCTGGTGGTCCGGGCCCGTGAGGATGGGTGGGTGGTGCACTCCTCCACGCTAGAGGACAGTCACAGGCGCAGCCGTGCCTAGTGGAGTTCCAGAGGGTGGTGGGCACACGCTGCCACCCGTGAGAATGCTGGGCACGCTCAGGGCAGAGTGGGTGGGGCCCTGGGCCACCCGCTCCATGTCATAGGGGCCGTGCGTCACTGTCGGCTCTGCGTGCCGCCAAAGCCTCCCATTCTGGGCTCGCCCAGCCATCCGTCTCCCATCCCATTAGTAAGCACTCGCCGCGTACCGGGCGCTGGGCTCAACACTAGAGTTCCAGTGGAGAGCAAGACAGGGAAGGGGGCTCCTCTTATGAAACCCCCATTCTAGTGGGGGAAGGCAGGCAGCAACCGTAAATAAAAAATAGGAAATCTAGGCAGTTGTGAATGCTATAAAGTAAAACCGAGATAAGAGGGGGAAGGGACAGATTTATCCAGGAGAATTCCGAATAATGTATGTAGCTACTCCCTCCAGGAGATAGAGCATAACTCCCTGCTCCTTAAATGTGGGCTGCGCTTAATGACTTACTCCCACAGAGCTTGCAGTGAGGGGAAGAGGGAAAGTAACTTTCTGGTGGAGAAGTCTGACCAGCGTTCGCTTGGCCAAGTGGCGCAGACTTGATGTCGGTGGTGGTTGGGCCGTGTTGGTGGCCTGCACCCTCGCTACAGCCGGCAGCGAAGGGCACTTCCTCCGTGTGGGCTTCCTTCCAGAAACCTCTACCCCAGTCTAATGATCTGAAAACATCAGACAGATTCAGATTGAGGGACATTCTGCAAAATACCTGACCAGTTCTCGCTCCTTAAACCGTCAGGTCACCAGAAGCAGGGAAGTCAAAAGCCGGCACAGTCAAGGGGAGCCTAACAGGACGTGACGACCAGATGTAACGTGGTCCCTGAGATGGGATCCTGGAACAGAAAATGAACTGTAGGGAAAAACTAAGGAACTATGAACGAAATATGGATTTTTGATAATAATTTAAGGAGGTAAAAACCGGTGCAGAGGGAGCTGAGAAGATATCTCTGAGGCGGTAGCATCTGAGCTGGGCCTTGAAGGACGTCATTGAGTCAGGCCAGGGTAGGGGAGATCCGGGGTGAAAACATTCCAGGCAGAGGAAGCAGCCGTGTAAAGATCCTGGGGCAGAAATAAGCTTGGGCCCATTAAAGAGCGCAGAAGAAGCTCAGCACGGGTGGAGAGGGGTGTTGGGGAGAAGGCCAGGGAGTGAGGTCAGAGGTGGAGAGGAGCCGGGCTACACAACAGACTGCCTCGACACTGTGGACGGCATGTGGATTTCATCCCCATGTGATGGGAAGGCAGAGGAGAATTCTGAACAGAAGGGCGACGAGAGCTAATTTCCACTTAAAGTCACTTGGGTCTGTGTGGAGAACAAACCAGGGGGTAAAGAAGGGCAGAGCCAGCTGGGAGGCCTCTGTGCAAGTCCAGGGGAAGATCATGGATGGCGGGGGGCCATCGGAGTCCCTGAGTCCTCCTGTCCCTCCAGATACAAGTGCAGCCTCACACATCAGCATCCTTCCCCCACATCTGTCTCCTGAAGATGGGGGAGATGACCTGAACTCTGGGTTCCAAGAACTATTTGAAGGTCCACACCTACCCGTCAAAGAACTCTGTGATGGAGACCCCTTAGGCCAGTAGCTAACCATCTCTCTTTCGTCTCTTGGTTTATGCCTTCTTTGAAAACTAAAAACATACCCCATGCTTACGTCGGTTCCTACAAGTAGCCCTTACTTAATTGGGAAAAATACAGCGAGGTTCCTAACCTCCCTCTGCCTTCTGGAAGTCATCAGTGGAAAAGGAAAACAAAAGGCTTCAGGCATGTCAAAGCCTTTCCTAGAGTGTAAACAGTTTCAGAATCTTCTCAGTGAATTTGGTTATGTCTTATTAACCACATATCATTTTTCTTCCCTCTGCTGCCTCAACTCCTTTGGGAAGGAAGTGTGGTATCAATAAAGTAAAATAAGTGCCTTAAAAAAAACATCTTGAAATAAATTACTGCAATTTGCACTTTTTTATTAAAATCAGGGCCACATTTCTTGGCATTGCCAAGATGACAGGAAAGAGAGGTTGTGGCCTCTGGCTTATCTCTCCCCAGCTTGTTGCTGATGCTCCTGTCACTGCTGGCGAGCGCTTGCTGGACGCGTGAGGAGCGGTCTACTTGGGCTCTGTCTCTATGATGACTGTGTCTGTAAATCCGGGGCTGTGAAGCCGTCCGAGCTCATCCCCGTCTCTGTATTTGCTTCTAGAGATAGAGATGGTGATTATGGAGCGCGGCAAGCTCCCGGAGCTGGCGGCCAACACGTCTGTGCAGGAACAGAACACCACGGACGAGGAGAAGAGCGCCGCCGCCACGGGCTTGGAGAGTGCACTGTGGAGCAGGTGCCACCAGTGGGCCCAGTCCTCCTGGTGCTGGCTGGGGGGAGGGGAGCCCACAGGCCAGCCCACCAGTCACGGTGGGGGTGCTGTTCCGTTGCTGGGATGAGGAGATGGGCTGAGCGGTGGGGGGGAGGGGGGATGCCGTGGCTGGGGTGCCCAGCACAGGTAACCTGGGGCCTCTTCCCAACACCCAGATGGCCTCTTCGGCTTCTCAGCAAAGTTGTCCTGCTTCCTGCCTTTCCTTGCTTCTCCAGCCCCTGTCGAGAGGCCACAAGGAGAGAGCTGACACTCAACTCCGGAGTGCTCACCCCTTGGAAAGAGGAAGACTGAGACATGGCGCCACCTCCCCCAAGCCCTTTGGTGGTGGGCCCTGCCCTAAAGGGTGTGGGTCGCCTCACAGCCTTGTACTGGCTGCCCCTGGCAGTGCTCTGTTGCTCCCAGGAAGGACTCTCTTGGGGGCCGCATTTGGATCTCCCTGTCTCATTCATTCACTGCCATGCTACCCCGCCGTGCATAGGGCCTGCCCTCCTGACTCAGCCAGCGTGATTTCACACTGATGGCCTGCAGCTTTTTGCCTAAGTGTTCAGTTCACTGAAGGCCTGCTGAAGCTACATCCTCTTAAACCTTCGAGATGCCGCATTTCCTGGAAACTTGCTGCAGCACCAGCCCTTCCAGAATGCGACTGGGTGGAAGGCTGCTTCCAAAGCGTGCAGTGAACTGTCAGGAGGACTTTTTCATTTCAGAGTTATTTTCCTTCCCGGGGGGCCCCGCTGTAGAGACCCCTGCCATAACCTAATCCCATGCACAGCAGCAGGGTTCACTGTCAGCCTACAAAGCATTCACTTCCTGAACCCTCAGGGTGGAGTGGCTGAAATACACACACACCCCATCCTACTTATTAGTCCAGCTTGAACAGTTGAAGCACACCCGTTTTTTCCTCCACCTCTCTCTGCTTGGCAAATGTTTCAGTTATCTAACAGTCAGGACTCATTTCTATCAGATGCACAAGGGAGCCATTTTTAGTTGGGTTTAAATTAAAAAACACTGGAGTGTGGTGTCGGCTATCAGTTGTTGGAACTTACAGAGACCGTTTTGATTTTGCTTGGCAGCAAAAAACATAACTCCTGAAGCTCTGAAAATTCAGGAAATCATTCTAAACTCAGAAAGGGAGGGGAAAACAACCTTTCATTGCTTGGCACAGCATTAGTGAGGATATGAATAATTGGAAAAACCACAAATGACTAGTGGTGGGGAGTGTATCAGCAAACGGGTGCATCTGCTTAATAGAATAGGAGCTGCTGCTTTTAAGTGAATACTGTCAGGATGTGTTGGGTTTCTTAGGATCTAATAAATGGAAACAGAGCAGATATTTTACATAGTATGGTAATACTATAGCTTTGTTAAAGGAAGAAGAAATATATATATATTTTTTAGAACGTGAAAAGACGAAACGTTATGTTTGAATGTTGGGTTGAGACTTCTTTTTTTTCCTGATCTTTTAGTGAAGAGAGGGTTTTTCTTAGAGTCGATTGAAATTGTTTCTTAACTTTCGATGACTTTAACTGGCATCTTCTACCATGTGGCTTATGATGGAAGCTGATCCTTGTGCCTTGAGTTGGGCTCACATACAAGCTTGTGGCCCCGGGACCCTTGGGCCAGGGCTGTCCTTGGCTCTGAGACCAAATGCTAAGGAGAGACTGGCCCAGGTGGAAAGTTGCCTTCTCCTTTGTGAAGGTATTGAATTGTTGGTTGTCTGGAACACTGCCAAGGACTTCTCTCCTCCCCGTTCCAGGCCCGGAGCAGGGAGGAGGGCACTCTGGAGGAAGGAGGGGGTAGTGTGTTCTCCTTGACATGAATCGGATCTTGACATTGGTCCACTTGTCTGAAGAAACAGCATAGTACAAAGTGGAACTGTTCTCCTATTCCTTGTGAATGCAGAAGGGCTCTGTCTGCATTCAGAGTTAAATATAGGCCTACGAAACTGAAAAATGTCTAAAGCATTCTTTCCTTAAAAAAAAAGTATAAAAGTAACACACATGCAGAAAATGTAAAAACATTTTGAAGAAAAGCATAAAGAAGGGAGAAAGGTCTCCATGATGCCAGCATCAAAGTCAGCTGTCACTAACATTCTGGTTATTTCCTGCTAGTCCTTTCTCAGTGGGAATTGTATCCTGCTTGCCCCCAATACTTATACCATACTGTGCCCATCATTTGTCTTTTTTTTTTTCTGTCTGATACCAAACCCCAGGCATCTTTTTCGCTTTACTGTACACTCAGTAAACAAAATGCTAATGGTTTCACACTATTTCATCTCCTAGAAGATGCTATGTCCACTCAGCCCTCCCTCTGCTCCTGGGCATTTGGTTATTTGCATTGCTCTAGAATGAAAACACAATCAACATTCCAGGCAGCTGGTTTGCAAGAAAACATTTTCTTCTTCAACTCTTAAGTTGAAAGTGTTACTGGGGTGCCTGGGTGGCTCAGCTGTTAAGCGTCTGCCTTCGGCTCAGGTCATGATCCCAAGGTCCTGGGATCGAGCCCCACATTGGGCTCTCTGCTTGCCGGGAAGCCTGCTTCTCCCTCTCCCACTCCCCCTGCTTGTGTTCCCTCTCTAGCTGTGTCTCTCTGTCAAATAAATAAATAAATAATTTAAAAAAGAAAGAAAGAAAGTGTTACTGCCAGGCACTTACAGAAACCCAGATCCACACCTGGCAAAACGATTCATGCATCTGAAAGGTGCCCCATCTGGGGCCCTGGAGAAACAGCCCGGATGTAAATGTCCCCTTTAAGGAAGGGCTCTTCTTTTAATTTCCCAGCGTCATGTGTGTATTTGAAATGTTACGACAAGAACGTTTGCACTACTTTCTCTTTTGCATTTTTCAGTTTAATATTTTGAATCACTGGTACATTCACGGATTTCAGGTTTTTTTAAAGTATAAAAGGTGATGCAGTGAACAGTTTCCCCGTTTCTCTGCCACACCTCTTCACTCCCCCTAGACGGTGATGTTGACAGTGGCTGTGCGTCCTTCTAGGGGTCACGTGTGCCCTCAGTCACTCCTCGAGGTGCTCTGCTTTCTTGGCCTCAGCCTGGCCTCCACAGAGGCAGCTGCGGGTGGTCACAGGCTCAGAGCCTCCTGCTGACGGGCCAGACCCATGCATATTCTATTATCCTTGTGATGAAGAGTCTTTCCAGGCCAGGCCCTTTACCTGGAAGGGCAGCGTTTAGGGTGTGTGGTTTGTGATATTTGCATCCACTCTCTAGACCTCTCCCACAAAGCATCAGAAGTGAACCCTCACATCGATTCTTACCCGTCAGGAAAATCAGTCCAAAAAATTGCAGGACCTGCCAGAGTGGGCTCCGGGAGAAGTGCCCTTGGAATGCTCCAAATAGAAATCTGGCCACAGCTCCCACACGCGAGCACCCTTCGCAGTGTGCACCTGGCCTGGTGCTAAATGCCTATCCTTCATCATTTCTTTTCTTTCTTTTTTTTTTTTTAAAGATTTTATTTATTTATTTGACAGAGAGAGCACAAGTAGGCAGAGCAGCAGGCAGAGAGAGAGGGAGAAGCAGGCTCTCCTCTGAGCAGGTAGCCCGATGCGGGGCTCGATCCCAGGACCCTGGGATCATGACCTGAGCCGAAGGCAGACGCCTAACCGACTGAGCCACCCAGGCGCCCCCTATCCTTCATCATTTCATGTTGAACCCCCCCTGGGAGCCCTTCCCAATGGGGAAATGGAGAGGTTTTAGGTAGCTAACCCAAGGGTTTGCAGCTCAGAAGAGGCAGAATCCGAACTGGAACCCAGGCATTCTGGCTCCGGGGCCCACGTTCTGAAATTGTTTGGACTTGTTGGTGCCTTGTCTGCTATCGTCAGCCTCCTACACTGCCCCGTTCTCTTCATCCTCTTGTCACTCTTTGACGTGATGATGTGGTCCATCTGTTCTCTGGCATGGGAGTGCCCCAAGAGCAGGGACTTGGCATCATTTACCCCCAGTGTCTGGAACAGCCGGGCCACGGTTGTTGAGTGATGAAGTGGTCCGTTCCTCAGTTTCCCCTGGAGCTAGCTTCCCACGGGCAGAGCCCGTCCTCCATGCCCGGTGCTGGACGGGGACCTCATTGGACTCGCCACACACTGGGCGGAGCTGTACAAGGCAAAGGCGGCCAGCACTTCATGTGTAGGCGGGCGAGGAGAGCTGTCCACTGTGTGTGCCAAGAGGCTCATGTGCGCCCCTCCTCTTTTCCAGACCCTTCCTCGATATGGTGTACCACGCCCTGGACAGCCCAGATGACGACTACCATGCACTGTTTGTGCTCTGCCTCCTCTATGCCATGTCTCATAACAAAGGTAAGCCTCCCCGCCTCACCTGCCGTCATGACATCCCTCTCTGCCTCGTGGCACCAAAAAAGAAAGCTGCTTTCCTTGAGGAATGTCCTTCCTGGTTTTGGCAAACTCCTACAGACTTCTCTTCTCACCTGAGAATTTCTCAGGTGCTTTTGTACATACCAAAGCCACAGGAATTGGTTACTAGGGCAGTATGGGTGGGGTGGGATGCGAGGGAACATGCAAGTGACTATCTAACCCAGTATGACTGTATTCACACTGTGGTTTTTCTTTCGACCCCTGGCTTTTACGACTGGCTTAGTATCCGACCTCTCTTCCTAACATCAGAACTGAAATCAGTCAAATTGTAATCTTGGTTTTGCTATTTATAATAGCTGATGTTCTTGCTCTGGGTTGAGGGCTAAAATAGACTCTGGGCAGATTGGGTGGAAGCATAGGTTTCCTTTCTGAAGAAAGGTGTGGTTCTCTGGCTTCCCCCATGGAGGCGGAGTGGTCAGGATCGGAGTCCTGTGGAGCTGACAGACCTGGTTAGGATTCATTCACTCACTTCCTCACTGGGGACCGCCGCTGGTATATGCCCCCCACCTGGCTTGACACTGGCAGGTTCTGAAACCCCCACATCAGAAGCTCTTCACAGAAGAAATTGAGAACATTCTTCATGGCCACTGCCTCGATTTGGCCTTGGCATAGATGAGACTTTGCAGCAGGTGATGTTTTCGTAGGTTCTTCATAAGCTAATTGAGAGGTAGGTAGAGGTGGGTTTTACTAGACAGCCTATGTTTAGAGACATTTAAAAAGCACTCAACATAATAAGTATTTATTCTTAAATCATTAATCCTGATGAATAAGTGGACCAGTGACAAAAGAATATTTGGGGAAAAAAGCCTCACCTCCCATCCCTGTCCTCCACTCTCTTCTTTGAGGTGGTTCATCTTAGCAGTTTCTTGTGTCTTTTTAAAGATATCCATGCAGGGGCGCCTGGGTGGCTCAGTCGGCTAAGTGTCCAACTCTTGGTTTCAGCTCAGGTCATGATCTCAGGGTCGTGAGATCGAGCCCCACCTCAGGCTCTGGGCTCAGGTCTGCTTGGGATTCTCCCTCTCTCCTTCTACCCCCCAGCCCCCTGCCCTGCTCTTGGACCCTCTCTCTCTAAAATAAATAAATCAATCTTTAAAAAAAAAAATTAAAGATATCCATGCAAACCCAAGTATGAGTATATATGGTTTTATTTCTACGACTGTCCCCCACTTAAACATGAATAGAGGTATCCCAATTGTCTGTTCCTATCCTGTTTTTCTCACATCATCATGTATCCGCACATTGTTTCACATCCCTAGAGAACTGCCTTGTTCTTTTTGGTTTTTTAAGATTTTATTTATTTTGAGAGAGAGAGAGAGCAAGCGGGGAAGGGAGGGTAGAGGGAGAGAGAGAATCTCAAGCAGATGCCACACTGAGCACAGAGCCCAGTGCGGGGCTTGATCTCACGACCCTGAGATCATAACCTGAGCCGAAATCAAGAGTCAGATGCTTAACCAACTGAGCCGCCCAGGCTCCCCTGCCTTGTTCTTTTTAATCCTTTGTGCATCATTTATTCTGCCATCATCCCCTTATTGAATGGCACTGAAACTCTTCCAGGCTTTTCCCACTGTGGCTAGGATCCACCGTGATGGCTCTTCTCATGTTAAGTCATGGTGCTCACATGCAAGTCCGTAGACCTGGCTTAAGACCTCTAAAAGGAGCCCACCGGGCTCTGAATCCTGCTGACGTTTTCCGCCAGTCTTGTTCATCCCCAGGGCTTCTGTGATCCCCTCCAACGCCTGGCTTAGTGCGTGGCACATAGGAGCCCTTGGTTTCTGGGTGGCAATAGAACTCCACAAGACTGACCGACTCCCATCCAAGGATTGCCCGCCACTCCCCTGGCCCCTGACTTCTGTGCTGTCTGCATCTGAGTTCCTGCTGGATGCGTCCTGCATCCTGGAGACTCCTACCCAGGTGTTTCAATATCACCTTGAAACACTGCTCATCCCCCTTCAGTATACCCTGACCTCAGCACACTTCCTGCCATTTCTGGTTCACTTGAAATTGCCAACCAAGGTTGAAACTGCCGTGACCTTTAGTTCCTTCCCTCCTTTGATCCCAGCATTTAGTCATCAGGTTTTGTCAGTTTTCCCTCTTCAGCCTGTCTGATCAGCAGAACTTAGAACTGAGTGCGACTTGGTGCCTAGTCCTAAGCTAGACACTGGAGATGAGAACTGGGGGCATGAGAGCAGGGAGATCTGGGCATGGCATTCCAGTGGCCATTATCACAGCCTCCCAGGGGTCAAACATCTGGCCATCTCATGGTCCATCCTCCATAGCACTGCCAGGTGATCCTCCATAAGACTGTTGACCATGTCCCTCCCCTGTTCAGAAAGCCTTCGTGCCTTCTTGTATCCCTTAAACCTCACCCTTCTCTGCCTGTCATTTTGAGTATCCAGATGGCACCCACCTTGCCAACTTGATCTGGTTCCTCTGACTTCCCTTCACAGACCCTTGGCTCTGGGTTTAAACTTCTATCTAGTGATAGAACTCTTTCATAGAGATAAACTTGGGGATGCTGTTGTGCTACTCATTGAACTCTTTACAAGTTCTTCTGGTTACAAGCAACAGAAACTACTTCTCATTAACTTAAGTAGAAGGGAAAGTCTATAGGAAGGCCCCTGGGGCAGCTCCCAGGATCTGAAAAGTTGCTGAAAAGCTGAAGGAAGGGCAAGAGCAAACCAGCTCTGGGGACTTCCCTCAGGGTAGATCATGATTTGGCCCCAGCAGATCCCTGGCTGATAGTCTGTCTCTGTTCAGGTTTCAGATTCTTGGGCACGAGATCTGACTGTTCCAGCTTGGTGGTGGTGTGTCTCTCTCTGGAACACGCAGTTATGGCTGGGGGTCAGGATCACATAGCACAGACTTGGCCCTAGGGAGCTCAGCCGGGTATCTGGGACTATTCCCAAAGCAATGAGCTTCCTTGGAAGCCTGGCAGCCACTGCAGTCAGTGCCAACATGGCCTCCCTGTTCCTGGCTAGTATTCCTTGTATTCATTTGTGTTTCTTCCTGCCATTTTCTCTACTTCTGTGTCACCACCTGTTGAAATTTTGCTTGCCTATCGGAAGTCACCTGCTCCAGGAAGTGCTTTCTGATCCCTTCAGGTGATATTCACTTTGGGTTGGTACTGTCTAATGTGGCAGGCACATTTTATACATTACTGAATTTGATTTGCTTAAAATTTTGTTAAGGATTTTTGCATTTATGTCCAAGAGTGATACTGGTTTAGGGTCTTATAATTCTCTTCTTTTATTTGCTCTCAGAGTTATGCTTGCCTTATGGAATAAATTCAGATGTATTTCCTACTCCTGGATTGTATGGAGGAGTTTTTATAGAACTGGTATTATTTCTTCCTTAACTATTTGGTAGAATTCACCGTGAATCCATCTGGGGCTAGAGTTTTCTTTGAGGGAGGGTTTTTAACTACTCAGATTCTTCAGTAGATATAGGACTAATGAAGCTTTATCTATTTCTTTTTGTGTGAGCTTTGATAGCTTGTGACTTTCAAGGAATGTGTCATTACATCTAAATTGTCAAATTTATTGGCAAAAATTTATTCATTATATTATTTTATTATAATTTTAATGTGTGTAGGATCTATAGTGATGTCCCCTTTCTAATTCTTGGTATCAGTTGTTTAGGTCTTCATTTGCTTTTTCCTGATCAGTTTGGCTAGAAATTTAACAATTTAATATTTTACTGATACTCAAAGAATTGTCTTTTGGTTTCAGTGATTTTCCTGGGTTTTTTTGTTGTTGTTTTTTATTTTATTTCTGTTTTTTATTTCTTACCTTCAGCTGCTTATTTCAGATTTAATTTAGTCTTCTTTTTGTAGTTTCTTAAGATGGAAGCTGAGATCATTGATTTTTTTTCTTAAAGATAATCAGTTTATTTTTTTTTAATTAATGTATAGTGAAATTAACCTTTTTTGTGTGTAGTTGTATGAATTTTAGCACAGGTATGGGTTTGGTCAGCACCACCATAATCAGGATACATTATAGTTCCATCAACCAAAAATTCCCTTGTGCTAGGGGTACCTGGGTGGTGCAGTTGGTTAAGTGTCCAACTCTTGGTTTCAGCTCAGGGTCGTGAGATTGAGCCCCGTGTTGGGCTCTGTGCTGAGAGTGGAGGCTGTTTGGGTTTCTCTCTCCTTGCCCTCCTCCCCTGCCGTGCTCACCCACTCATGCTCTCTCTCTCAAATAAGTAAACAAAATCTTAAAAAAAAATTCCCTTGTGCTATTATTCCTTTTCAGTCTGTCATACCCTTCCCATAGCACTCATTGATTTTTAAACTTTTCTTCTTTGGTGATAAGAGTTTAATGCTGTTAATCTAAGCATTACTTTTGGGTGCATGCAATACATTTTGATATATGTGGTTTTATTTTTATTCAGTTTAAAATATTTTATAATCTCCCTTTGATTTATTCTTGTCCTTTGTATCATCTGTGTCATTTCTGGTTATGTTTCTATTATTGATTTTTCTCCTGGTTTGGGTTTTGGGCTCTGTCCTGGGTCATGGTTAAGTTACTTGGAATCAGTTTGATCCTTTCGAGGCTTTCAAGCTTTGTTGCTGCTGGTCCAGAACAGCCTTTAGTCTCAGGCTCACTTGGCCCCACTACTGAGGCGGTCCCTTTCTGAGGATTATACCTGATGGGCCATGGTTTGGGTGGTCCTTCCATGCTGGCTGCTGGGAACAGGAACTCTTCTCAGCCTGTGTGAGGCTGGAATTGTTCCACCTGCTTCATTCCCAAAGCTCATTCCCTTCCCTCCCATGCATGCACAGAGCAGGACATAGCTGACGCCTCAAAGGACCCCTCTATACCTCTCTGTACAGCCCCCTCCTCTCCAGTCCTCCGTCCTCTCAGTTCCAGTCACTCCACCCATCTGAGCTCCAAACTCTGCCTTCTCAACTCAGAGAGACCGTGGCC